GAATTCCACTTACAGCTATTTAACTTATTGTTAGGTGGATGCTTAAGATATACATACTTACTCAGTTATTCCTAGAAATATTTAATTTAATTTACTGTATTGTATTGTAATATTTCTATAATGCTACATCTTTCTTCTCTGAACGCTGAGGTTGGAAAGACGAACGATCACAAGCCCTAGGCCCATCACCGTCTGCGCTTCGTCGGTTAATATCGTAAAACTTCGCCTGTGCGACACTTCCGACGTTGTCAAATATTATACCCGCCGCCGGTAATAGTAACATATACACCGGAGAAAACTTGCACAATTGGAACGAACAGAGAAATCACATGAAACAATTATAATTTACCAGTTAATTGCGAGTATACTCATCAGGCAGAATGTTGTTATATGACTATTGGCTAATTAACACGATAAATATTAAATTTCACTGTATTATTTATTGCTATAGATCAAGGATGAGCAACCTGATGCCCGCGGGCCGCATGCGGCCCGCCAACATTTCTCAACTACAGATTATTTTTCTAGATATTTTTTCAAATACGAATGTAAAGGCTAATTTTGTTATCAGTGAAATACTGGTAAAAACTGTTGCTCGCAGAAATAGCATTTCCAAATAAAATAAATGTTAATTTGAATATTAGTTAACAATATTGCAAGAAAAATTGAGAATTGTTGCGATTCCAAATGGTCAAAGTTAGCAAAACAGCTGTTTTCATTAAATGTTTTCTTCGCCATTTACCATGCAAAATAATACAGATTTAGAAAATTTATTTTTTCAGTAAACATCGCAATTTTTTATAAATCTCATGTCAGACCTGAGAAATTTTCGCTTTTGAAAAAAACTCAATTCAAATTATGATAAATTACTTTTTTGGAGTACGTATGTGCGAACCATTACACAGATCCACAAAAAAAAGTCGCTGGATAATAATTCATTCATTCAGAAAAAAATGCTAGATTGAAGATTGTGCCAGTTTTTAAATATTTTTCCATTTTTGACTATAATATTATATTCAGCGGTAAAAGTACATTGAAAATACATCGGAATACATATACATATACACACCCAATCCAGACAACATTTTTTTGTGGACCTGTGTGAGTTTTAGCCATGAAATTCATAAAAAATTACCACCTACTACTTTCCGCATTAAAAAAAAATAATTAAAGAACAAATTTTAAATAAAACGGATGATATTGAGCAGCTTATATAAAAAAGCAGTTCCAAATTTCTTTAAAAGTTTTCAAGTAAATTAGTTTTTCTGTTTAACTATTATTTGTTTTTATTTCGTATTTATCTTTATAAACACTTATAATAGTCACTCGTAATTATATAAAATATATACTTTTTTCAATTTTGTATTTTTGTTCCTTTCTTGTGGCAATTTTGTAATTTAGTTGCAATTACATTATTTCCGCGCTCAGTCAACAAATCTTTTGACTTAATTTTAGTTCAGACTTTTGAGTATATGAGAAAACGTTTTATTTAAAAAGAATAAGCAAAATATTTTTATCATGGGTGGTACGAGCGTAACATTTTTTTTATTATTTTTTTCTTTATTTTAATTTTCTTAATGCGGAATGGAAAACTACATACATCTCCAAATTTTAATTATTTTATAATAGTCATTTTAGTAGTCCAATCATTTTTTATTTAGCTCGGTAATCGATCAATTAACTATTATCGCCTTTTTTGTGAACGTTTTTAATTGAAATTCGATCAAGATTTTTCTGATAAATTTAAATTCCGCTGCGCAAACATTTAAAAACAATTCTTATATGTTGGCAACGAAATGGTTACCCTCCATAAAACTAACTGATTTAGACTTATCCTACTGTACAAATATTTCCGATGTGCATTAGAAGTACATAGTTTTTGAATATCTTGCAGAAGGAGCAATTCAGGCAAAAAATAGAAATTTAATATTATAATCTGAAGATAAAACTGTTTGAAAAAGATAAAACTATTGAAATCTCACTCGTTTCGCTAAGCATAGCATAACTAAATTCAAATATGTATGTTAGTATTTTAGCGCTGTAGTGGGTAAATTATCAATGTAATATGTGTTAGCTACCCCTTTCATTTATATACCCCATATTTATACATCCAGAATTAGTTAGTCAATTCTAATACTAATGATTTTCTAAAAATATTTCCTGTGGCTAAACGTTCGCCGGGTCGGCTAGTATAAACATAAATTACGTGCGGCCCGCCATAAAATTTTGAAAACCAAATTGGCCCGTGGGTTAAAAAGGTTGCTCGCCCTTGCTATAGATATGTATGTGTATAGGTTGTCATTCCATTCATCAGCAATTCCATAAAAAATCAATTGTTGATATCGAAGGGATATTATAACAACTAATGTAGACATCAGTGATGATATTGTTAACTCTGGTTAAAAAAGGAAAGGAGTAGATAGAGAATGTGACAACGCGATGATTAATAAAAATAAAACTATACTTAATATAAAAAAACCGGAAGGAATGGAACATTACTCAAGTCTCAAGGTAAAATCTTTGACAAAATATTATAAGAATACAATAAAACTCATAATCAACAGAGCTTTTCTGTTTGGCATTATTCAGCATGCACTGCAGTTACCAGTATCAATGGATTGTTTACTGTTTCTAAAAACAAGGCACAAAAATGGAATCAGAACAATAGTACAAAAACTTTCAACCAGCAAGACTTTCAACAACAAATAAGTTTTAATGATATTTGACTGCTATTATTCAAATATCAAAGCATACAATGCCATGCTTGTCTGATCAAGATAAAGTATTATAAAGTTGTACATTTGGATAAATGATGAACGAATTGATATCTAGTCATTACTCTGTTACTCTATATGAGTAACATAAATATAAAACAATATCGAGTATTATAAAACTTATTCATTAGCAACTGCTTTACATTTCTAATGAAGATTGAAATCTCTTAAATATTATATACACTGAGATACTATTACTTATTTCTGGAGATTTCTATATCAAATTTTACTCGAAAGAATCTAACATTGTTGATTTTTTAGACAATAAACTAAATTTAACAAAGAATAATTTATTCCAATCAACTTTCTCAAAAAATTTAGAAAATTTGCTGTCTGATTTTATCTTATCTTTAGTTCTCTCAAATCAACCATATAATATTCGAAGTATAATATAATTAATTGTTTTGAAATAGTAGTATAGCATATACAATAACAAAAAAGTTTTACTTCAATCGCGTGTGTACCTTACGCGCCTCTTTTTTTTCTTTACCTGTTGTACTTCAACTGTATTGATAGAGCCCTTCGGAGCATCTCGTTCGTGCAAAAAGTAAAAATAAGGGTATCCAAACCAATCAGATTTATAAATTTCCTCCAAACCTAAAATTATACAATTTATTAACTCAAATGTATATTTCACTTAAGTTGTATAATTTGCAATATATTGATCTATGTTGAATTACACGAGCATTCCGTTTACAATACAATTGTAGCGTATTAATTAGATGAAATGAAATTAATATAATTTATGCCAATACATATGTTAGGAATATTCATTGCAAATCGTCTTAATTGATTTTTAGGGAATCTCAATTGCTATAGATTAAGTTGATGTAGTGTAAGTTCCAAAATTTTATGTAATTTGCCATTAGGCAAAATGCCACTTACAACTAGGTATATTGGTATAAATTCATGAAATATTGTCATTTGTTTATGTACAAACAAACCTCTGCCGGTGCCGAGCGAATCTTTAACTTTTTTCCTTTCCCTTCTGTAGGACCCCAAAAGACTCGCCATCTTTTGTTTTACTTCGCTCATAGTTTTTTGGAGCATGTTTGCGATTTCCTTCCAAGCATCGTCTTTGAGCTTCTTATTGTGATAATGCGGATTTTTAGGGTTCCACAATAAGTTTTTCTCCTGGTACATCTCAATTAGAAAAATAACATCTTCTCTAATCATATCCATTTTAAAAATTGTGGTCAAACCAAATATTTATGAGATGTCTAATGCCGCGTCTAATGTATAAGGTCTATGGTCTATGACCCCCTCCCATTCTCAAACAAAAAAAGCAAAAAGTGCGCTATGAACATGCGAGTGGACAAATTTGAAGAAAATTCGTGCATTCGCACAGTATGACTCTGTTGCGCGAATTTGTTCGTGACACAACATTCGCCGCACGGATTCGTGCAGTGGAGCCGGCATTAGGCATCTCAAAACTAGTTAAATAAAGATAAATAAACATTATAAAAAATACCTTTCATATATACATACATTGCACGTTACTTTTAAGAGCAAGTATAAATATTTGGTTTGAGTTTTTTATGTTTTTAATATATTATTGAGTACTCTTCTTTTATCTATGATTTAGAACTAATTCACCAAAAATTAAAAAAAATGTATTTGTACAAAGTCCTGATTAATTAGTATGCTATTTGCTTTTAAATAAATAATATTACACAATCTGTTTTTAAAATGTAAACAGAATGCGAATCTGTTGTGATAATCGTCCAAAGACCACAGATGAAAAGATATGACGATATAACCTATCTTATTGTTATTATTTATTCTTGATATTATTGCACGTTGAACGTGAAATTAATTATTTACATGTTTATGTTTCTTTTATTATGCATATTTGTTTTGAAGTAGATATGTGAAATTGAAAATATAACTTTTTACGGTCGATCCATTTTTTTCAGTAGATCTCTGTAAATTTATTATTATATAAAATGTCGAATACTAGGAAAGGAACCATTTCAGTAAAAAAAGATTTGCTCCGGCCAGGAGTTTCAATTAAACAAGAGCCAGGTGTTGAAATTCAGATCAAGCAAGAGCCTGGTACCGGAATCCTCAAACCTACTCCTGATGCCGCCGCTCCTGGTCGTTTATCGTCATTTAAGCTGCCTCGCGACTTAACATTAGGAGGGCAGAATGCCAGAAAAGCTCCCAAAAAAGTTTACACTCCAAATTTAAATGCCGTTCGCGTTAAAAAGTAATAACCATACGTTTGCTATAAATTTAATTTTAGTGATAGCATTGCTGATTTCTTAATTTTAATTTTATTTTCAGAGATTCCCCTACTGCTCAGGAACCGGTAGGAAGAGGCACAGGTAGAGGTCGTGGAAGAGGAAGAGGTCAGAATGAAAGAGGCAGAGGTCGTGGTAGACAAAATACAAACCTTGTGCAATCAGCTGGCATATTCTCAGAAGGCTCCGCGGATATACTTAGAAGAGGTGGTTCATCTAGTGGGAGTTACGCCAAAGATGATTCCACTAACATTCTGCAGAAACCAACACTGAACTTAAAGCAAGAGTTGAAAGTAAAAATTATAACTATATAAATACTTATTGCGTTGACGTACAATAATAATTTACTTGTATAATTGATACTCCAACTGATTTAATAGGTTGATATAACTGAAGAAGGAGAACATTTGAAAGCTTTATTAGGTGAATTCGATAATCCGATTAAGAGTCCATATATTGAAACGAATCCAATAGTTTTATCTGCATCAAAACATGGTATGTACAAAGAATCATTTTTTGTAGGACTTATTACAAATCATTGTATTTAAAAATACAAAAGCCTACATATAGCAAATTTTTTGCTTTTATTGTTAATACATTAGCATCCATTTTCATTGTAACTCATCTATATTTGTCTCGCACTCATTTTTAGATATTGTATCATATCATTCAGGCATCTCAAACATTTGATAAGTTAATATATATTTGTTCATATTTCTTCCTATAATGAAGAAGGTGATGTAAGTAAATCGCTCATAACTAATTCATGCGTTTACTTTTTTGTTATAATTATTATTTTTGTAATGCATGTGAAAATTTCCACAGCTTGCTTGTTTGTAGTTGCATGTTAGTTTGGCTTGTACTTATTTTAATTTTGCTTTTATTGTCTAAATGTATTTAGATGTTATCTCAAAAGGTAAATTGGCACTAGAAGTACCTTTGAAAAAAATAAAGCAAGAGCCGGGAATTGTGGTAAAGACTGAAATAGAAGATAATAATGATGGTGAGGATTGTAATTAGCGTTTTACTTAGAATTTTAGATATCTCTGCATCAATATAAAAATTGCATATATATATTAGATAGTTTGTAGTTAATGCTTATTCATATACTTATATTTCATTATATTTTACTTTTGAATCGAAAAAGAATTATATTTATGGTTAGTTTAATACTAAACAACAAATAATTGTTTTAGGATTAGTTCCAGAACTCTCAGTGAAAAATTTAGATGAAAATGCACAAGAACAATCACGAGTATACAATAGAATTTTATCACTTCCAGGACTATTTTCAATGCAGAATTCACCTTTCTTTCTATTACAGGTAATTCAAAATATAACTAAACATTTGTTTACTCATAGATCAACAAACATTGTATACAACTTAATACATTATTATTTATAATTTCCTAAATTTATTCAGTTACCTGACACACTTCCTGGCCAAGGTGCAGAAGAACAGATAGAGAAGCAGCCTGAAGCATCAAAAGAAGAATCAAGCAAATCCACTACAAAGGTTGGTATTGATAGAAAATATAGTTAAGAAAATTGTCACTATCGTTATACTTATTTCAAAATAATCCTACTTGTACAGATTCCTGCAAAATGTACCTTAAAGGACCTTGATAGTGGTTTTATCGGAAAGATGGTTTTGTACAAATCTGGAAAATCCAAACTGGTATTAGGACAAACATGTTTTGATCTAGAACTTGGCTCACAGACATGTTTCTTACAAGTCAGTTTTATTTAAATATATTTCGAATAATTATTGTCAACTTTAAATAATATATTATTCTTTACAGGATGTTATTTCCATTGATGTAAATACAACACAAAGAACTGGCAGTATGATTAATTTAGGCCAAGTACAATCTAAGGTTATAGCTTCTCCAGACTGGAATTTACTTACTAGCAAACAAAGTTAATTAAATATAAAAATGTGATAATTGTCTAACTTAAGTTGTAAATCAAAATTTCATAATATAGAATATTTATTATGCTATAAAGAGTAATATCAAAATGTAAGGTAATAAAATAATTCTCTCAAGGTATATCTTATTGCTAGTCATTGAAATAATGTTGCTCTAACATTCTATACAAACACCTTGCAGTGCCTCTGCTTCTTGCAACGCTAATGATAATTCTTGTCTAGCTTTGTGCACTACCCACAGTAGTAAAGATATGCCTATAATGATCTAAAATTAGTAAAAAAAATGTATTAATATGCCGTTAATTTTACCTAATGATTGAGATTTATTCCTCAAACCTGAATTGCTAATATACAATATCCAGTAAATGCAGTTCGCTGATTAGCAAGAACTTCATACATAGATCTAAGAGTAGATCCTAAATAAACATTAATAATTTGAGCTGGCAATAATCCTAATAATGTGCCAATATAAAAAGGTTTCGCACTTACACTACTGATCTGAAATAGAACTCATCAAAACTATAACTCAGAATTTATTTTTGTGTAGGAATATACTTACAGAAAAAATGAGATTCTGCAAACCAAAAGGTATTGGAGTCAATCTTGCAAACAATATCACTTTAAAAGCTTGAGGTCCTGATATAACTCTCAGAATTCCTCGAGCTGTTTCATTATGCGCAAACTGGCTAACAGGAGTATGTTTATGTATCCATCGTAATGTATTATGTGCGACAATTACACCAGTATTCGCTGATACAACAACTATTAACAGCCCATTAAAAATACCAAAAAGGTAACCACTAGTGATTATCAATATTAAATATCCAACGGTGATTGGAAAACTCACTATCACGAATAACAGAGTGAATATTATAAAAACTGTGAAAGGATTTTGATTCTCTATCCATAATAATACTGTTTTTAAATAATTTTTGCATAAATAAACTAAAAAAATTATTATTGATAAAATAGTTATAACAAGTAATACATTCATAAAAGATTTTAGTGTTAAAATATTATAATTTTTCTTTAATATATCTCCTTGTTTTTGTTTTGAGGTTTCTCCCTCTGAGTATAATTCCATTGCTATAATTTAATTAATATTAATCATTCGTATAAAATTATGGTAACGTCATGATGCACCTCGCCCAACATTTTGCATAAAGTTATTGTCTTAACAACTTTTCGTGGTGCTTGAATAGCCAAAATCACTCTTTTCGATCACATGTTAACCCTTAATTGTCAACTTTTATTTGAACTGTCAAAACAATGCGCACGTCATTTCGCAACCCACTAATCCAAAAAACCATAGTGTTTGCTTGCTTGCTTGTCTAGACAAGACAAAATCGGTACTGGTCTGGCGGCCGAGTTGTCTACGATCCATAGATAAATGTACAAAGAAGCTAGATCAACCGGGTCTACGAAAGAAGCATAAAAGAAGCTTCCGAGGCTTCCTATCCTTCCGTAGAAAAGAAAGTAGAAAATAGTAAAGTAAATACTTTTTTTATCGGGTCTCCAAAACCACTAGACCTGCCTTTCCAAAAATTCAATTAGTTCTTCATTTCATCAATACAACTAGTGGTATATGGCATCGTGCCTTAAGGCAAATTGCAGGAACTTCCAGTACCTTAATGAAATATTCGAAAAATATTAAATGTTTTCAAATAGATTATTATAAATAATGTAACTATCATTATTCTTAGTTTATAAAAATTAAATGAACAAAACTTAATCAATCGGTTAATCGATTTAAAATGAAGAACATTGTCTAATATTTCTAAGTATTATATAAACTGAATTGCAAAGTTAAAACTAGTAGGGCGTAAAGACTTTTTGAAGAAAAATTTTAAAATATTTTGGAAATTCTGAACTTTTTTTCAAAGCAATCGTACTGCTTTAACTGCATATAGACGAAATATCGAAGCGCGTAAGCGCCGCGCCGCCGTCTAACGGATAAACATTGGTACGGAATCCATAGGAATGTAAACAAAATTTATACTTATTGTTAAAATCTCTATAAAATATATGATAATTTGATGTGCATATGTCTAATGATCATTTTTGACCGCCAGATGGCATTTTTTTTACTTTTTTTACTAGACCTCCGAAACCGCTAGACCTGCCTTCATGAAAATTTGATCAGTTCTTCATCTTGTTAATACTTCTAACTTGTCTAATATTCAATACTACTCAATCTTGTCTAATATTTCTAACGAGTATAAATTATACAAACTGAACTTCTAAGTTAAAATTATTTATTTGAAGTATATGATGATGTTTAGAACTAGAATTTGAATTAAAATCCGAATTATTTTTCGATATTTAAAAAATTTTTTTATTGAAAATTAAAAAAAAATGAAATAAAAAAAATTCTTTCCACAAAAGCAATCGTTTCGTCAACACATGCAGATTTTTTTTATAATCATTCAAGTCGGATGCTTAGTTTTCTCAAAAGCCATTTTTTGCACATTTAGCTCTATATCTCCAAAACGGCTAAACCTGCCTTCCAAAATCTAATCATCACTTCTCCCCATCATTACGAATCGAATGTTTATTGGATCATTCAAATAGGTTGATCCGTTCTCTTAAAAACTGACATTTCTAGCACTTTTTGCTCCATTTGTCCAAAGCCGCTGGACCTGTATTTGTCAAAAACTTGTAGCACGTCTCCTCATCAATAGGAATCGAATGTTTTTTGAACGATCCAAATCCAAAAGGTTAATTCGTACGCCCGAAATCGTCGACGAAAAATTGTCTTCACACATACACACAGATATCAATTTTTTCTGAAGTATGCCAAAATGTTTAGAAACCGCTGAAACGTAAAGATATAATTATATAATTATATAATTGAACGCTTCGTTCTTTCAAAACCTGAATTGCCATTTTGGCACTTCTTGCCCAGTCTCTTCGAAACGGCTGGATCTGCCTTTGCCAAAAACTAATCAGCACGTCTCCCCATCAATCGAATGATTTTTTAATCATACAAATCGGTTGATTGGTAGTTGTAAGGAGCATTTTCAATACATAATCAACTTAATCAATAAGAAATGAGATTCAGCTATTTATACAAACTTCGACAATAAAATTTTTGCTTTTACCGAAAATTAATCAATGCATTTTGCAATTGATTTCTTTCAAACCTGCACGAAACGTATGTATTTCATAATTCAACCGCTTATGAAGGCTTACTTACAATATTTTAGTATTCGCCTTAGAATCTCTTGCAAGGATTACAGGATTCTAATAATAATCGATTTCTTTACTAGTAATGGGCTTGTAAGCCTGCGATGGATCGTGGCTGTAAAGTTGTTGAAGTAAATAATATATAATATATTATGACTACATTTGGTGAAATATACATGGCAATAAAAAGCTATTTCCTTGAAGAATAGCTTCAAAAATATAACTGCAGTAAAAATAAATAGTACCGTATGCAATAATATTTTATTTTACTATATGGTCTCTACATTCATTTTATTCTTAACAAAACCATTCACACCTTATATTTATTTTAAATTTGTTTAGTTCAATAATAAATTCTAATGCCATTAACAATGCACTTTACTTAACATAGCAAAATCTTATGCTATAAACGAACTCAGCTGCATACCCGAATCCACTAACTATCTTGTTATATTTTTAGAATGAGTAATTTATCTTCTCTTACAAAATAGCCTGATACATAAATATTACAGTTTTTCATTTTTCAGAATGTCAAAATGTTAATAATGGAAATTTAATTGATTGTTCATATCATATAGCAACAGAACAGATATCGTGAGACAGATTGCATTCAAGCAATATGCTCGAAGTGTTTATTTTTCCAATTGTCTACTTTTGCCCATAAATTTATTCCAACAGATATTAATATTTAGTGCTAGAATTGTACTTAATTCATGTTTTCATACAATGGATATGGAATCTACAATGATATGTACAGCATATGAAAATATATTAGAAATGGATACTGATTAAAGATGCTGCCTTCTCTGAAGTGATTATTATTAAATCGAATATATATATATATATATATATATATACATCATATATTTATAATATATATATATATATATACACATATTTATAAATATGTAATTATAAATAATATTCTGGTTTCCTCATATCTGACTTTTGTATCACCTTATATAAAATTAATATACCATATAATTAATTAATTACTTAATTTAATTAATATAATTAATTATATACAATGCACACTCTCAAAATAATTTATCAAAAATAAATAAAATATATTTTACACAATTATTAAAAATCGGTACGTTTTTCTAAGGCAATCCATATTAAATTGCATTAATTTTTCGAGTAATTCAATAAAATATTATTAACTAACCACGCAACTCATTAATATATACCGAAATAAAAAAAATCAAATTAATTACAATAAACATATAGCTCCTATATGTTTATTGTAATGCTATATGTTTATTGTAATGCAATATTGTATTGCAATAAACATATTGTTCCAACAGTTCCAACACACAGAATAAAGAATTATAAGTACTTATTTGTCGTTTTTTATTAATAAAAATCTCAAAAATTTAATTTAACGTCGAACCAAAAATCTAATATGTATATATTATTATATATATGTATCAATATAAATATAGTGATGTGCCTATTGGATTCTTTTGAAATCAGCTGTAACCAGCAAATTGGAATCAAGTTTGAATCCCTTCAGAGTTTTAGCATAACCGCATCCTTTCAAAAATAGTTCAGATAATATGAAAGTATTTTATTTAATTATTTGTAACGTCAATTATCTAAAGAAAAAATGAGAATATTGAGGGACCGATTCTGCCGCTTAGCAGACCAATGTTATGGCAAGGCTATGTTATGAAGAACTTTCCATACAAATTCCTTCTAAATATTGGCAAAAGCCATGTGGTTGCTATGCAGTCAGGCGAAAACATAATCTAGAAACCGTACAAATGTCAAAAAAACGATGTTAGATAACAGGGTCTTTCTGACTCGGATTCATAACATACGAGTGATGTTGCAGTATGTGTGTAAAACGCCTGAATGAACAGCAAATACATGACATTTTGACAGCATTCACTATGATTCAGTAGCATAATGTATGGAAGTTGGAGCGTAACATGGCCTTGCCATAACATTTGTCTGTTATGCGGCATAATCGGTCCCTGAATATAGTAAAATTTCAACAAGCCCAGTTGCAGGCTTGCTGGCGATATGAAAATTTATTTTCTTATGTGATTCTTTGTTTTTCATTATTCAAATCGGACACATCACAAAATTATTATATATCTCTAGGTATACAAAGCCATACATACCAATATATGTCTATATTTGTTTTTATACATTCAAAATTAAAATACTACTGGTTCTAATGTAAAGAAAATATGATTTTCGTTGTTCAGTCCATAAGTGATTAATTTTATTTCTAAAAACCAACTTTGTTTTATCCTGATATTGCTATCGACTAATAATCCAATTATCTTTTTTCTCTGGCAAACTTCAATTTTCAGATTGATTTTCACATTTCACAATATATTCTGCTCTAATCTAACAATACGTTTTAATGGACAAGCTTATTTTATGAAATTTTATCAAAAATATGCACGAAACAATTATTTGATTTTATTATCATTTGCAATATTATCATTGGCAATCACATTTTTCTACAAGGTCTCATATCATATACATAGCTTTGCTTTATTCGTGTATCACATGGCCTTTACAAATCTTGAAAAGTATCACAAAACATAATTAAAGCTATCCAAATTACTTATATTCTATCAAGTTTTGATTCAAATACATTTTTATAATGACTCTAGATAATAAATATGAATATGTGCGCTTCGAAGCTTGAATCGTCCAAAAATATGCTAAGCGCTGAATCGACTAGAGATGATTGGCTATGGCCATACATATAGTCCAGTCATTTTAGTAAGTTCACCTCGGAATTCGAGATACCCAGCTGTAAGTCTGTAAATACTTGTATATTGACACCCTAAAGTTGTCTCAAAACCTACATATGGTAGGGTGTACCCACCATATGTAAGCTTTGAAAACTTTTTGGTGTCAATATGCAAGTATTTACAGACTAACAGCTGGGTATCTCGAATTTCGAGATTATTGCCTAATTTAAGATTAAATGACTGGACTAATAAGTATATACTCGTATCTACATTATGTCCAAAATTTGATATTTTAAGGGGCAACATGAAAGTAGTGTTAAAGAAACATATGATGCGTACTCATAGACCAATACATTACAGGATTAGCTGCAGTAAAAAATTAACTAACAAATTCAGTTTTTGAGAATAATTAAAATGTAATATGACATAAGAATTTTTGCATACATTTGTTTTGCGTAATACCATAAGTTATGTTTAAAAATTAAATTGGTTAATTTTATTAATTTAGTTTTATGTAAGGTGACCATATTTTTTCGCGTCAAAACCGGGACAGTAATTTTAAATTACAGGTGACCCCCGCATAACACGGTAGTTACCTTCCAAAAAAGTAGCGTGTTATGCGAATCCGTGTTAAGGAACAAAGAACTAGTATAAAAAGAGGGGTTACGTTCCAAGAATTCAGAAAAACATGCTACATACCATGATTTATATATAAATATTGTTATATTCATTATTTTTTATGAAGTTATATACATCACGTGAATTATATGTTTTTTTTTTGTCATTATTGAATGGTAAGTGTTATCCAACACGATCCTTTTTTTGCAAGACATCCTCATCCTTTGAGCAGTTTTCTGTACTACCTCCAGATCCGTGCATTATTTAAAAAAAAATATTTGCGATTACTTGCTTTTAGCGGAAAGATATTTATATATTTACCGCAAGCAAAGTTGTTTTCATTGAAGTTTTGTGCTCATTTTAATATTCAAAGGATCTTTGTTCAAGACTAATTGACTAATTGTTCGAATAAACCTGGATTTTTTTATATAGAACGTACACGCTCGAAAGTATCAAATTATTTATCTTTTGCATTAGTTTCATCACATTTATTGAGCTTTTGTACGAAGTTTTTACTAATTTTAGATTAAATAATATTTGATTTTTATAGGTTCAATAATATTTTTTTACTAATTTTAGATTGAATAATATTTGAATTTTATAGGCTCAATTCTCAAACCGTATTAAAGCAAACCCGTGCTCTAAAAGTACCGTGTTATAAGGGGGATGGTCTCAATTCTTAAACCGTGCTAGAGCGAATCTGTGTTGTAGAAGTACCGTGTTATGCGGGGGTTACCTATATGCTAATCCGGGATGGGTGGAGGGAATGAATGCTAAAAACATTAATATGATTGTAAAATAACAAATTATTTAAGAATTTAATAAAAATCAGCCTTCTTTAAATGAGTATTTTTTTTTTTAAATCAGAATTACTGATTAAGAACTTTATTATTCGATTATATGTTATAACATATAATCGAATAATAAAGTTCTTAAAAGAAATATAATTATATTTTATTTTATATTTTTAGAGCTTTCAAACTTATTATAAAATCTTGTTCAATTTTTTTCATAATTATTTATAGATAATTAGCACATTTATTTGCATAATTCCAGGCAGTCAAGAAGTTCATTTTCATAATTTTTGTTAATTTTCTTAAAATTGGAAATGAAAGATCAAAATTATGAATGTGAAAAGCTATTTTAATCCGCCTTTTTCATTTAAGCATACTAGTTGTACATAACATTTTCAGATAATTTATGGGTAGTTGTAATTTTATTAACAAGTAAGAGCGAAAAATCAATTTAGACTTATACTTTTTGCAAACCCAGGACAAATATCGCTTTTAGAAAAATCTGGAACACAATGTGGAACACAATCCGGCACTGTCTCGGCCAATTCGGGACGTATGATCACCTTATTTTATATTACACTTGATCAAAGTTTATTTGCACGCTTCAAAATAATTTCCACCTCGAAATACATAATATAAGGATATATTGATTTTTATAATCACAAATTCTTGAATTTATTTTTTATTATAGCTATTTCTCTTATAGTTCTCTTTATTCAAAAATGTTAATTGAATAGTATCAAGAAAACCCTCAACTAGACTAAAATAATAAATGTTTGTAATGCATTCTTTACCTCTTTCAAATCTATTAACGTGCTCATTATCTCTTTGAATGGTGAGTAGAATAATATAAAAATATTTCGCAGAATATAGCCCTTTCAAATCAAAAAGATCTAGAATTGTTACGTGCAAAGCCCTGGTAGTAGAGGTCTATGTATTTACTCAAGTTTTTTTCCGAACCCTACATTTATTAATTAATTATTACCTTGGATGAAAAATAAACTTATATGGCACCTTATATTGAGGGACTATTTAAAAGTCCTATAATTAAAACACATGATTTCATCATTACTTAAAATAATAGCTATGCTCTTTATGAATCCTCTTTATGAATAGGTACATGATCGATTTAGTTTAGATAGAAATTGCGGTAATAAAAATGTACAAAATTTGCTATAAATTCATTATTAATAATCCTCATAATTTATTTATTTAATAATTATGATACGAAAATAATGCAGCAAAGTAATACAAAAGATTAATTCTAGTTATGACTTCATCATACCGAGCAATACGATTTATGTAAGCTTTTAGCTAAAAATTAAATACTATAAAAACAAAAAATGCTCATCAAAGATCATCACTATGTACGATTGACAGTCTATCTTTGAAGAATATAAAAATAAAAATTTTGTGAATCTATTATTACCATCCGTTCTTACCGTTGTTCTCGAGGCGGACTTCGATACTGATTTCTGGCCATTTGTTGAGATGGAGAAGGCATATTGACTTGCAGTAATGTGCTCCCACTTGAGGGGGCTGCCATGCAAATAGGCACCGATACCGGTCGATCTATGCAGCCGTTACTGACGACCGTCATTGGCATGTTGCGCAAAGTGGCTTCGGTAGCTGATACCAATGTACCAGACATGGACCTCTGGATTGCGCCCAATAGTTCATCAGAGGCGACAAGAGCACCCGGCATCTAGAAATATTAACATTATTATTTATAATCACAATTTTTATTTATGTCAAAATATTATGAATTAAATAAATTAGTCGACAAAAGTGATTTTTTGTAAAAAACTAGTGGGGCGCATGGCATCGTGCCTCAAGGCAAATTGCTCGAACTTCCCGTACCAAAAATTATTTTTTTTTAAAAAGATTAACATTTTTGAAGAGAAGTTACTCTGAAAAAATTAGATTTTTGATAAACTATACATTTTTGATAAAAATTTACTTTTTTTGAAAAAAAAAAAGACTTTGAAGAAAAATTTATTTTGAAATATTTTGGAAATTCTGAACTTTTTTTCAAAGCAATCGTACTGCTTTAGCTGCATAGATACGAAATATGGAAGCGCGTAAGCGCCGCGTCGCCGTCTAACGGATAAACATTGGTACGAAACCCATATTGTTAAAATCTCTATAAAATATCTTATAATTTGATTTGTATATGTCTAATGATCATTTTTGACCGCCGAATGGCATTTTTTTACTTTTTTTACTACACTTACTAGATCTCCGAAACTGCTAGACCTGTTTTCATAAAAATTTTATCAGTTGTTCATCTTGTTAATACAAGTAAAATGTTTTTTGAATTATTCAAATCGAACGCTCTGTTCTATTAAAAACTGAGTTATCGTTTTTGGCACTTTTTGCCCCATATCTTCGGAACGGCTAGACCTGCCTTCGCCAAAAACTAATCAGCACGTCTCTTTATCAATACGAATCGAATGTTTTTTGAATTATTCAAATCGCTTCATCGATGTTCCCGAAATCGTCGACGAAAATTTGTATCCGCACACACACATACACGCAAAGATATATATAAAAAAAAATTAACTTCCCGTAGGGCAAGTTATAGTAATCGCAAAAAAATCGAAAATGAAAATTTTTAGATATCTCTACGTTTCAAAACCTTCTGAACATTTTGACATACCTTAGAAAAAATGGATGTATGTGTGTGTGCATGTGTGTGTGCGTGTATGTATGTATGTTCAGATACAAATTTTCGTCGACGATTTCGGGAACACGGATCAACCGATTTAAATAATTCAAAAAACATTAGATTCGTATTGATAAGGAGACGTGCTGATTAGTTTTTGGCGAAGGCAGGTCTAGCCGTTCCAAAGATACGGGGCAAAAAATTCCGAAAACGGTAACTCAGTTTTTAAGAGAACGGAGCGTCCGATTTGGATAATTCAAAAAACATTTTACTTGTATTGACAAGATAAAGAATTGATCAAATTTTCATGAAGGCAGGTCTAGCAGTTTCGGAGATCTAATGAAAAAAGTAAAAAAAAATGCCATCTGGCGGTTAAAAATGATCATTAGACATATGCACATCAAATTATCAGATATTTTATACAGATTTTAACAATAAATATGAATTTTGTTTACATTCCTATGGTTTCCGTACCAATGTTTATCCGTTAGACGGCAACGCGGCGCTTACGCGCTTTGACGTTTCATCACTATGCAGTCAAAGCAGTACGATTGCTTTGAAACAAAGTTCAAAATTTCCAAAATATGTCAAAATAAAGAAAACATTTTTTTACAAACAAAGTTCTTTTTTTCAAAAAAAAGTAATTTTTTGTCGAATTTAAAGTTTCTCATCTAATTTTTTCGAAGTAATTTTTTTTTTTGGTACGGGAAGTTCTAGTAATTTGCCTTAAGGAACGATGCCATGCGCCCCACTAGTTTTTTAATATCGTTCCAAAAATGATGGTTCATTTTCAATAATAGTATTCTGGCAGAAGTTGTACGTGCCCTCCTTAGAATAGCCTGGCAAACCCTGAGGGGCGCGCCCCATAGGTTGAAAACCGCTGGGTTAAACCCTTTTGTAATAAAAATCCTGAACCGCGCATTTTTGCTCCACTATTTTAATAATTTCAAGCTATGCAATCACTAATTTTACAGTATTTTAAATCGAAAAGTAAAACTTTTGGACCAAGTTATTCCACTTAATGAATGCACAAAACTTACATGAACCAATCTTCCATTTTGCGGTTGTAGTATTTGCTGGGGCCTTCTTTCTTCATTATGTGGTGACTGTGGTGAATCGCTGGGTGTCTGCTGTAACATTTGCCCTCGTTGGACACTTGACGGTGAACCAGGTTTATCATTTTGAGTTTGTAAATCCTGTGAGCCTTCGTCATGATTGGGCTGTTGTTGATGGTGATCTTGCGAATTACTAAACCTCAAATCGCACACGGACTGGGAATCGTAGGATGAACTATTACTGGCAGCGCTATTGACGTTGAGGGTTGCATCTCGATGTACTCGGTTGTGATGCCTGGGGAGAAAAAATATATCTACAATATATGATACGACATTTTAAATCATAGAACGTCGTTAGTTTTTTATTTAGTTGATTGAAATGCGACGATATAAAAGACTCATCAAAAGTAAATAAATATCTAACGCGGATCATGATGCGTACATATATCAATTCATAGCATGTATACATAGTACAAATAGTAACTAGTTGTGTGTAGTAATTTTTTTTGAATCATTCAAATCGAATGCTTATTTCTCTCATAAACTGCCATTGTTTGCACATTTAGCTTCGTATCTCCAAAACGGCTGGACTTGCCTTTGCCAAAATCTAATCACCACTTATACCCATCTATGAATTGAATGTTTTTGAGATCATTCAAATCGGATTTTTCCTTCTCCCAAAAACTCGATTTTTATTTTTGAATCATTCAAATCGGTTGATCCGTGCGGACATACAAAACACTCGCACATCCATTTTTTGAGGTATGCCAAAATGTTCAGAAACCTTCAAAACGTGGAGAAATGCAAAAATTTTCATTTTCGATTTTCGGCCCATTACTATAACTACCCTACGGGAAGTTAAAAAATAGCCCTTTCCGGGCTTTGCTTCATCAGATTAAAAATATATAAGCAACACTGGATAAATTCTGATAAGAAAAAATACATCAAATATAAGATAGGTTGATAGGTCAGTCCACGCTCCACGCCGACTCGCACCAACCCTGGACCGCATTTCATAATTTCATAATTCTTTGGTAAATTAATTTCTATATTAAAGTTAAGCTGCTGATAACAGTAAATATAATATAATACGAGGGTCATGTAAAAAATAAGGTTCCCACATTTTTTTCAGGGTTGAGGCATTTTTTATTGCAATAAATGTGTATACCATCGGAAAGCTTGTATTTCAAACTATTTTTCTACATAGTCGCCAGATTTTTCAACGCATGTTTTCTGAAGAGTTTTCCACTTCTGAAAACCCGCTTCAAAAAACTCCGCCGCCACGCCCTTGCTCGGTCTTCTTCTCCGGCGATTTTGGATGGCTTTTTTGAGTTTTGTTAGTGTCTTGCAGTACTTGTCCGAATTTATAGTGGACCCTTTAAGCATTAACTCGGTAAGCAAGACACATTTTCGGTCCAAAAACTCGATGGCCTCCCGCTCGTTTGCTCGTCGTGAACGTCTGTGCGTCCTTCGGAGAACTCCATGCACGATTTGAGGACGTGCTGGACGTTGATGCAAGTTTTGCCATAAACTTCTTCCAACTTTCTATGAATTTCAGTAGGTGTAAGCTTCTTCACGTTTAAAACTCGAATGACTGAACGGATTTCACACCTGGCGGTGACGGCGATTGCACGCTCCACCGCGAATGGCTGTTAGATTGGCACTAAGCTTTACAGTGATCTTCCAGGTAGTTGGAATGAAGTGGCAAGGATTAACAATGAAAATGGTGTTGCCGAATTTCCCTAGTATCTCGCGCAGCGAGTGTACATCGTTGGGAACCTTATTTTTTACATGCCCCTCGTAAATAATAAATATACGGGAAGAACGGTAAAATACTAGAAGATATAAAATGCCGATCATAAGGATATTGAAAAATGCGGGTAGAACTATATGGTATTATAGTACAGTCCTGTACGGTTTATTGGAGCGATCATAGATCATAGATCGTAGATCATAATTTAAGTTGAGAATTTCAATAAAACTCCGGCTGAATAAACAAAAAATATTCCATTACTTATGTTGTACCTTATAAGATAAGAATCTCTGACAAATGTCCGTCCACATATAGTGCATTCATAACTTTGGCCGGCTGAATGTGTCCGGATGTGAATTGCAAATTGGGATTTGGATGTGAACGTCATGGTACATCGGTCGCAGTTCAAAGGCTTCTCTGCCACATGGGACCATCTGAGATTAATAATATTTTATTAGCTAATATTATTGTTATCCTTATTTGAGAAAATAATAGTTTTACCTGTGTGCGGTAACGTAACTTTTCACAGCAAACCTTTTCTGGCAAATATCACAAGCATAAGGACGTTCACCTAAAATAAATAGATAGATTCTAAAACTATTATTCATTTGAAAATTTTATAATTATAAATTATAAGATTAAAATAAAAGGATAACAAACCTGTGTGTATACGTTTGTGGATATTAAGTGATGATTTTTGGCTGAATCGCTTCATGCAGTGTTCGCATTGAAAAGGCCGTTCGCCGGTGTGCGTGCGCATGTGGATGTCCAAGTAGGGTTTCCGGCAAAAGGCCGCGGGGCATTGAACACATTGGAAAGGCCTGCCTTGCACTACTCCAATAAAAATACCATTATCGCTTTAAAATTTCAGTTACAAAGCGAAAATTATCAGCTCTATAATAAAGGATTGGTTAATGAAAATTCGTTTGTAAGTATATATTCTGACAACAGCTTTCTAGTTTTCTACTTTTCGCTGCCAGATCCTTCTTATTCTCCTCCATTCAAAATTGGGCGCAAACCTGTGAATAACCTGCTACAAAGTGTAATGGAAACAAAAAAATATTTTTGTAGGTATTATCATCATAAAAATTCCAGAATTATGCTTTTATATGATTCATTAAAATTAATTTCAAATAACTACAAATCCAACGTCTTTGGATTTCTCGGTGTAAACTAAATATAAACCTGCAAATAAGATTTAACCACTTCGGCATGTATCCACAAATCACCAATCCGTTACTGCATTTCGTAAAATATCATTATTATTCCAAATAAAACATTGAAGTTTTCACAATAAGTTTGAGCAAAGGATTCAATTTTTAAATTAAATTAATTTTATTATAGATTCTAAAAAAAATCAAAGTTATTTCAGAATTTTTGTGGAATCAAAGATAAAATTAATTTTTAAATTGAAAAAAAAAATTATAAGTGAAAATGGTTTTATAGCATAATTTTTAGATCGCAGCCGAAGATGCAAACGGCCGTTCCAGTGAAGGTAACTAAATGTACTTTTAATAATTAAAAACATGTTACACACAATTTTCAGTAAAATACAAAATTACATATCACATATACAAAAAATCCAGAAGTTTGAATCATTTGCTAGTTTTTTAAATATTTGTTCAAGAAAAAACTTGATACAAAATACAAATACGATTAAAATTAAGAGCTCTTATAGCGCCTTTGCTAAAATTGGTTTTAAATTTAGTAGCAACATTATTTCAATGTTTGTATAAATTATTTCAATAATCTTATTGTATATGAATTTGTGTTAAAATTGCAAATGCCCAATGATTTTAAAACTAGATTAAACATTTGGTATTAAAATGTGCTTTTAAAACTCATGTTTAGAATGTATCGACGTACCGATATGAATTGGTTCAAATAAGTTGAGAGTACACTTCTCGTAAGGCTCTTGGGGCGTATTTGTATTGATAAGTCATTTATAGTGTTTTTGTTAGTTATAGATGAAACGTCAGTGATAATTTTTGACCCTAGAAAATGTTGCCGAAAATTAATCCGGAGTGGCACTTCTTGAACTCGCGTCCTGAAAACTTTCTCGAATTTTTAAGACAAAAACATTGTATCGTGTGAAAAAGGCTGAAAAGTTAAATCGATATAAAATTATGCAATCGGAGGTCTGTGATGAAACGTATTCGAAGGCATTCTGGTGTAAACCTTCGAAATGATAAAATTCGAAATCATACATACCTAAAGCAAAGTCCAATCATAATATTTGCAGAGATGGAGTCTTTTATACATTCTACATATCTTTTTGAAACAAAAAATTATTTCATATAAATCGTATCGCCACATTTTTATGTCTTTTAATAATTTATATTGGTACTTTAGGAATAGCCATCTTGCAACATTCAAAAAGCATGAAAAAATTCAAACGGACAGGCAATAAAGGATGCAATATTTAAAAAATGCATGATATACGACTTGTATTATCACTTTATGCAAATGGTTTCACATCCCTGCTGTACCAATATTAATAAAAAAAACCTTGTCTGGCAGCATAAAATATATTTTATATTCAGTCATAAAGTGATAACACAATATTCTAATATAACGAAATAAAAATTTTAAACTGAAAATAAAATGCACAGACAGGTATAGTATGATAAAATGTGACGACATGCAAATATAAATAAAAAATAATAAAAATGCTTATTTAAAATAAATAGATTTAATTATGAATAATATATAGTTTAACAAAAGTACAATCGTATTTTAGCTAAAGCATGTGTGACGAGGAATGCCAATGAACTTAAAAACTGTAATGATCAAAAAAATTCATAGAGTATTTATATTTTTATAGAGAGCCACATAAAAATGGCCGTTATAAAGTATCTTTGGCATTTCTAGCAAGTGGAAAGAATCACTTTTTTCATAATTTTACACTATAAAATGGAAATAATAAAGAAAAGCAAAGGAAAAGCTATGATTAACCAAAAACAATATAGCTATTTACTAAATTCAGGTACTGAGGGATTATACTAAAGTATCCAATTAAATCATTTATCTCAATTTTGGCACAGAATATAATTCAAATGAAAATATGCGATATAAAATAACTTTGTACAGTGAAAATATTCCAATTTTTATGAATCAAACAACATTAGCTTTTTTAACCCTTTTCTTTAAAAATAATGGTTAACTATATAATAGTCAATTCAATACTTAATAAATACACTATATTTGACTAAAAGCACATATAAAGAAATATACATCTGTGCGCATTTAGCTCCATAACACAATTATAATATGTAGCACTTGCTTCAACCAAATTTTTATAATTTTAGAATATGACTAGTAAAAACCTTTAAATTTATGTACAATAAATAAAATTTTATTTCAGCTGGATATATTACACCAGAATATAATTTCATATTTCAAACCCTAATATTTTGTCTAACTTTTTTCCAAACATAATAGAACATATATGACTGCGCACAGAGCTAAGAAATTGCATTTTTATTACACATTATGGCAAATACGACTATTTTTTTTATAATATTGATACAGAATCGTATTAGTTTTAATATCAAATTGTTCTATAGATTTTATGTATAAAAAGTACCATCTCTCCTTTAAACATACAATAAATATTATATCGAAAGAAAATGTAAAATGAAACTTATTCTAAGTACGGCCATATGTAAAAAATCATTCCTTCAAGAACAATCGCATTTAATTACAATCGAGAAATTGACCACGCACTCGAGTTATTTCTAACAAAACAAATTGCCGTTCCGACTTCAGTCTTATTAATGTCTCGGTCAGTAGCTGCACCCATACTGATGTTGAAATCATATGTTCACATCTTAAAATTCTTTGTGTGCTTTATTATTTTCTTTAAACATTTTAGAGATTCCCTTATCGCCTCCTGCATTCTCTAATAGCATTTGTTTTAAAACAGTGAATGTGGTTCATTCTTGTTAGAGACTATATGCCAAGAGTAAAATTGTGATAAATCATGACAACATTCAAAATCATACAAGTATCTACACGAAAAGGATTTAAATATAATATTATTTAAATTTAGATACTAAAATTATAGAAAAATATTATATCAAGATAAACCCTGTATTTTTTTTATATAAAGATTATGAACTTATTTGGATATACATATTGTTTACCTTTGAAATTTTGTTAAATCTCTCTTTATCATAGCAAATACCAAAACAAAGAAATATAGTTAATAAGTTATCATTTTAATTTAAAATTCAAATTAGATACTGTAGATTGGTGTTGCATTCAATTACTAATGCCATTGCCAACATGATCGATACAATAGGAATAGCTCGAAAATTGAAAGACCCGTGTCCACATGTGACTTGCTATTTTATAAATTTCCACCAACAAAGCTGGCGTCTGCGTTACCACTCGGTTTATTGAAGCACATATAATATATAATCTATATTATTTAGTTGTTTAAATGCCGATACGCGTTGGGTTCTTATCGAGCACCGGCAGCTATTGAGTCTACCCTACTGTCTGAATCAGGTTTGTCAACGTCAGAGGCGTCATCCTCATCAGAGGCATCGTCCATGTCGTCTTCGTCCTCGTTTTCCATGTCATCGTCTAAGTCTGCGTCGTCTTGATTTGTCGCGTCGGTTCCGTTCTTCGACGAGGCGCAATCTGAATTGTCATCGACCGACCCGGGCATCATGGGTAATTTCTCGTTGCTGTTATTTCCTGCGAGATTTCTGTCAACCTTTCGACAAATTTCTATCATTTTACCACAGGAGCAGCGTTGCCACAGACCTGTATGGATCCTTTTATGGATGTTCAACGAAGATTTCTGTGTAAACCGCTTCATACAGATGTCGCACTGGAAGGGTCTCTCACCGGTGTGGGTGCGCATGTGAATGTCCAGGTAGGGCTTCCGACAGAATGCCGAATCGCATTGCGTACACTGGAAAGGCTTGTTCAACGACCAGTAACCTGGAATTTGCCGCCCGATATCATAGATTTGTATACCGCCCGGTATCCAAAAAGACTTATACGCGCAACCGACATAATGTAAGAATACACAAAATAAAACAACTAAAGCATCCATTAATTACGTGAGATCAAGACAGAAGAAATGGCAGTGGGTAACGATGTACTGTTAAGTAGTTCAAAAAAGAATCTATAAACTTTGCGAATTCCATTTTTCAGCTTAACCCTCTGTTTTTTTTTTATAATTAATATACTGCGAAGTAAATCCCGTATAATAAGAATAGATAAAGGTAAATTTGATTCACCAAAGAAATGACGGTAAAATTTCTAAGAAAAGCAACTCCGGAAATTTATGGTAACCCACCAACAAAAATTTGCTTACGTTTTACAGCTAATGACAAAATTATTATTTCGGTATCTTTTTTATACTTAGGAAGTGAAAAATTGATTCAAAAATAATCTTCTCTTAGGCATTGAAATTGATAAACATGTTTGATTTCGCAAAGTTTAGAATCTAGATTTGCAACTATTTCTTTCTATTCATAATTATGAAATTCATTTTGAAATTTTTTTTTGAATATATTGCCTTTCAAGTTGAATGATAAATTAAAAAAATATTTGTCAAATTATAATGAAAATGTTATATTATTATGTTTAAAACAATTAATAGCTTTATACCGTTTTTAAAACTATCTAGGAGTAATGTTTTAGTTCAGTGCATATTAAACTATTTTTTTGAAGCAAATGTGTTATTTTTCCTCATTAGACTAAGTACGAATTAATCACAACAGTAATGAAAAATATAATAAAATATATTCTACATAAATTTTTATTTATATGTCTGTTAAAAAAGGTAATATTGCAATTTAAAGAAAATAATCATGTAACCCAAACTTTGTTTAACATATTAGTATAACCCTATTCGTACCTAACTCAAAAATGATAATAAAATACTCTTTTAATGAAATCATGCAATTTATGATAAAATGATAATGCTTGAAAATATTTGAACATGTGTCGGTTGCGCTTTTAATTACTATATAATAAAATGTTAAAATTAATTAAAACGCACCAGTATGAATTTTCTCATGTAAATGAAGTGCGCACTTCTGACTGAAAGTCTTGAGACAACTTGCACACTGGTAGGGCCGCTCACCTATACATTTTATAACATTATTAATATAGTTAGCAAATTAATTTCTTCAAATCCAAAAAATGTAAATTAGGTTGATACAAAAATGCTGGGATCAAATAAAATTTCCAAATTATTACAAATTTACCATCACTTCCCAAGAGCACTCCACATGTTCAAATATTTTAATTTAATCGCCATAATGAGAAATGGTTAAAAGAGAATTTGAAATATAATTGTCCATGCATCATTTCGGCATTTCTAAATAAAATTTTAAAATAGGAATACATGCAACTCTGTGCTCTGAGGATGCAACATGATTCCTCTGAATTTTAAAAATAAACGAATAATTAGAATGTGTGATGGTTTTCTAAGGTAGTCACAACGTTCAACATACATCATATACAGTTGAAATATATCTCAACATATCAATAGTTATAAAATAATAAATAAAATTTGTTAAAATATTGTCCAACGCATTAATTACTTGAGAAAAAATGTATTTTAAGTTATATTATCTACAAAAATGCCTGCCTATGATTTTAAAGCTTTATTTATTACGAGTAATACTGGAACCTATTCAACTTGACTTGGGATTAAAAATATATTAATTTGTTATTTAAATTCTCAATTAAATTTCTTAATCCGTTTTATGAAATGTTGTTAAGATACAATTGTAATTTATATCTAAAAAGTGCCCAAAATTTTAAAAAAATAATCTCAGAATCATTATCAGAGGTCTCATATGCAAAACTAATAAAGAACAATAACAAACTGTGAGTATATATAGTTATTATCCTACACTATCAACATTAAGACTATCTATACACATTAAGTATTTGATGATAGCACAAAATGATTTAATCGTAATAAACTTGCATGAATAATGAAAAAAATATATAAAAGTTTACCATATTAAGATATAAAATTTTAAATATTGTGAACTTAGCTATACTTTTTCACACAACAATTCTTTGATATTAAATATATTTTTATACAACATACCTGTATGAACCCTTTTGTGAGTATTTAGTGAAGACTTTTGTGTAAACCGTTTATTGCATACATCACACTGAAATGGCCTTTCACCTGTATGAGTGCGCATATGTACCTCAAGATAAGGTTTTCGGCAAAATGCTGCATCACAAACCTGCAACAAACATTACGCATATAAATATATATACATAAATGTGAAATTGGCATAACCATGAACAAATACTATCGTTTGAGAAGTCTGGATTTAACCCTGTTGGGCAAATAATTTTCCATATTTATCAAGTCAATATAAAAATATGATAGATGAAAAAATACTATTTGTAAAATAGGAGGTAAGTCTAATTTTTTTTATTTACATCAATCTTTACATTTATATAAATCTTTTTTTATAACAGTAATACAAATATACTTACAGTACACTGAAATGGCTTGTTTCCCGAATGCAATTTCATATGTACATAATATGAAGAAGCAGAGGATAAGATTTTCCCACAAATTTTGCAGGCTTGTGGTTTGTTCCGAGAATTGAGTTCAGTTTTTGCTGTAAGATGACCATCATGCCCTTCATCGTGATTTACATTTTCCATATCATGTTGGCCAATTTGATTTGACTGTATAACAGCAGGATTAACTTGATTAATAACTTGTCCAATTTGAGATTCCTGATTTACTTGATTTATTTGATTGATTTGTGTATTCGCAGAATTTTGGGATGATTGCTGATTTTGCTGAAATTTGAATATTGCTATATTTATATTTGCAATTTAAAATTAAACTAACACATTATTTTAATTATATGATTTTTATGAACACCGAATGCTGTATTGGTATCTAGTTTATGGATCTCACCTCAATAGCGTACTGTAGTTTTTCATTTGTGTTTACAGAAATTTGCTGCACCATAGCATCTTTTGCAGAATTATCAGATGAAATGTTTATTACGGAATGTTCTGAATTTTCTATTCGTGGATGTGTTGGTGGAGGGCATGAATAAAAACTCATCGGTTCTGATTTGATCTGTTGCTCAAACATACTAATAGTGGCCAAGAGGTCTCCGGGCGGGGGCACGGGTACACCAACCCCGCGCCCCACCCCCCAATGCGTAGGAAAACTAATGGTGGGGCTTTAATATCAACATGTTCGCCACCAATACCTCAGCCATGGCAATAGCTTTTTCACACCTGGGAAGACATAATAAGCAAAAATATTTATTTAACCCTGTCCATAAAACTTTATTATTATAAAATTTTACAGTTTTTGGTTTTTAAATTATGCAAATGATAATGATCTTCGTAAAAGTCATAATTTCACTGTAGAGACAGAATCTTCAGTTCTGCAGTAGAGCTTTAAATTTATACACAAATAATGTCAAGGCAAATATCTTGAAAAAAAAAACTGTATTTTTTTTAAAAAAAAATATAAAGTCTAAATTGAGGTGCACGAATGGGACTTGAATAAATTGAAGAATGCTTTGGTGTCAACTGTTTATAAAAAATTGTTATAATATTTTTCCATAAATATATTAAGCTCACTTCACATACGCCAATTACTTGTACACCGTTTACACAAAATTTTTTTAAAATCACATTCGCGAACTCATATGTAATAACTCTCAATTACTTACTTTTAAATAATTGATATTTCTTCTTCACATACTTCTTTATTTGTTTTGCTTCGTCTAACTTTAGCCAAACTGTAAAATTAAAACTAACTAATCGTTTAACTATCAAGTTTCTTGAATTTCACACTGTATGCATTTCAAAATTTAATTTCACTAGTTACTTAAATAAGCATAATAAAATACATTTTATTCACACTACATATCTATAAAATCATAGCACAGCAAGAGCAAGAGAACAAATATTTCATTTTGACAAGATGGCGCTTGTTACAAATGCGCGTTGAAGTTGCGCACAAACAATATGCAAACGGATCGAAAAAGAATTTACCATAGGAGCAACGTGACAAATAAAAAAATATATTGCTGTAATACTTTATTCATTCTTTTATCTAAAATTTATATAGTCTTAAATAAAGATACATTCATTGTTGAAAACATTAAAAGAGAGTTGTATTGCCTTGCTTAAATAATTTTACCACAAAGAAAAGCTACTTTTCATAGTAGCATTATTGTAACCCATGGTAGGAACCCCATATTGGGCATTCATATTTTGATTTGCCATCTGCCCATAATTTGCATAAGGATCTTCAGTATAATAAGGTTTTTTTGCTGCCATGTTATTATATCCACCTTGTGCAATTCCAGCCATAGCATTTGGTCGACCATATGTATTCCGATAAGCCTGAAAAATAGTTTTCATTGTAATATCATATTAAATTTATTGTGAGTATGTATTATAATAAAAGAACACTTAAGAATGTAAAGTGTCAACTAATTTTAAAATCAGTTTTGATAAGTTTATCTTACAGGATCATTTAAAGAAATACCTCATTATCCATTTTAGAACCATTAACAGCTGCTGTTGGCATTTCAGTTCCATAGCCATATTCGTTTTGCTTCATACCTTTATAGGCACCTTGTTGCTGTTGATATGACATCATAGCGGCACTATACTGTTTAGCTCGTCCATACAAAAGTGACATGTTAGATGGTTGTTGAGGTTGTTGGGGTTGTTGAGGTGTCTCATCTAAAAATCCATTATAAATTATTCCACCAAACCAATTAATATGGAAGTCTAGACGAATTATAATTACATGATCCCCCAGAAACGAATGATGAGGATAAAGGTTGGTCATAACCTAAACCAAAACGTGATTGTCGTTTTCTTGCCATAAATGCAGCACCCTTACGTTTTCTTGAAGATATTCCATCAGCACTACCTCCATATTGAGGGTTCAGTCGATTTTTATGTCTATTTGACATCATATGCTAAAAGAAGTTCTATATTAAACATTATCGTACATATAATACATGCATAATTTCACTGCAATCTATAATAAATTTCAAACCTGTTCATACTGTGTTTTGGAGTTTGTTTCAACATTACATGATTCACATTTAAATATTTCAGGTTGACCATCAGGTTTGGCTTTCTTTGAAGGTGATGCATCTGTATTATCTGCATCTTTTGATTTTTTTTTTATGGCTTTTTGAGTTGGTGCTGGTGTTGTGTTTTCCAAAGCTAATAAAAAAAAGAAAATCGTACAATTTCACAATGATTATTATAAAATTACATCATAAAAAAATAAGAAAGTACCGTAAATATTAATATACATATATGTAAACAACCACATATGCATATATATATATATATACATGTGTATACATATATATAGGTATATAAATATATATTTATATATGTCTACACTTGCATACGCATATAAATACATACATATGTATATATATATATATATATATATATATACATATGCATATATATATATATATACATATGGATATATATATATATACATACATATGGATATATATATATATATACATACATATGCATATATATATATACATACATATGCATATATATATATACATACATATGCATATATATATATATATATATATATATATAAATACATATGCATATATATATATATATATACATGCATATGCATATATAACATATACATACATATGCATATATATATATATACATACATATGCATATATATATATACATACATATGCATATATACATATACATACATATGCATATATATATATACATATGCATATATATATACATACATATTCATATATATGCATATATATACATATATATATATACATATACATATATATATACATATATATATATACATATGCATATATATATATACATATATATATACATATGCATATATATATACATATATACATATGCATATATATATATATACATATATACATATGCATATATATATATATATATATATATATATATATATACATATTATATATATATACATATATATATATATATATATATATATATATATATATATATATATATATATACATATGTATATATATACATATGCATATATACATATATACATACATAAGCATATTATATATATATATATATTGGAGTATGCACGCAAGTTTACACATACATATATGAAAGTAAATGTGTAGTATATAAATCATTTATAAGTATACAGAACTTACACAAAAATAATACAATGCAATATTTACTGTAAAACTAAACATGTTTCTTTCTTAAGATATTATTTACAACTTAATCAGTTTTTTCTAGTTATTATAACTATTTACAGAAACGAATAGTATAGCAATAAATACAAAAATAAACATAATGTTATATAAAAAAACAACAGGTATAAGAGAAGGCACCATACCGTTCTTGATCTATATTTACCTTTTTGTTCAACTTTACTAATATGTTTGTTACCTGTGAAATATTTGCTGGATTAATATACATGAAAGAAACAAATATTGAAAAATCAAATGAATATTTTCATGTTACTTTTCATATGCATGTCCAATTGACTAGACGAATTTGCATATATGCCACAATCTTTACAATAAAATTGTCCTATGACAGTCAATCCAGTAGTAGTGCCATCAAAAGTTTCTTTTGGAAGACCACCTAAACTCTGTGATCGTAAATTTTTCTGATGGCGTTTGCCTGCCAGATGGGATTCCAGAATACAACTATTAGCAAATGTAAGTTTACAAATATCACAAGGCAATTTCTCCTGTAATAAAAAACAATTACACAATTCTAAAAATCCTACAGTTGCAAATATTACTCAAATAGAACAAAACTACCACCTCTACTTTTTCTTACTTTACGCATACAGTTCTACACATTTACATGGTATTGACCTATGAATTCATAAGTATTGATATGTATGTATTTTGAATTTCGATATATATATATATATATATATATATATATATATATATATATATGATATTAAATAAATACACACATATATATATATAAATATATATATATATATATATATATATATATATATATATATATATATATATATATATGTATATTAATATATAAATATCTTAACATTCCTGATGAATAGCTGATAGCTATACATAATAATATATATATATATATATATATATATATATATATATATATATATATATGTATGTATATATAAATGCATATTCAGTGAGCAATCTAACATTATTCATAATTATATATATATATATATATATATATATATATATATATATATGTTAGTTTTCATCTTGAAATATAGAAACAGTGAAAAAGAAAAATATTCTGTTGCATATTTTTTGACATAGTTATATATGCAATAGCGGATTTGAAATACAGGATATTGTATTGAATATAAGATCTGACTTTGCTTCTAAAATGCTTCGTGTTAACAAAGATGGTTAAAAGTTATTACAACCAATTACAACTATAGTCACAGCTTTATCCACAACAATGACTGTCACATTGACAGTTACAGTGTTACTTGCTAGTGCTAATGATGTACTTTGTATTTATTAGTATTACAAAAATTGTTCACATCCATGGATGATGACAAAGTAACATGTCAAAATATTTTCGTTTTCACTTGATATATTTTGCCTGCCTTACATATATAAACAGGTTTTATTTTACTTAAACGGAATTTTATTTACGTATACATATACGTATTACTTATACATGGATATATATGAAAACTCTAAAAGCTAAAATTTTACATACATTTATCTTTTCCGCTACGGGCTGTGCTTCACTTTCTGTGTTTTCTAAGGGTTTTAGATTTGCCATTTTTATGAACTATGAAATGTAAATGATTTCTGAAAACAACTGATATATATTAGGTAGCTTTACTATATTCTCGGGATTAACTTATTTGCACAAATCACTAACTTGGGTTGCTATTTTATCACAAAAACTGAAAGCGCGTACCGAATCATGAATAAAAATGGCAGCGAAAACCCTAGCGAAAACAATTACAGCGATACCAATATTGCCATGTCAATGTCAACGCATAACCAACATGTATCACATCACTTTTGCGCGGGAATGTTTCAATTTATATTGCTACTTTTTATATGATACTTATATCTTAGACAATATTTATTTATTTATCGCCAACGTTTGTCATTTTTTTAAATTAATGGCTGTAATAATTATAAATGAGCAACTGTACAGAAAATATACAATCATATGAACATATAACATTCTAATACTCAAGATATACGATTTTATGTCTGCCCCTAGATAATATTATTTATAATTAGAATATAATATATTCATATGGTCTTCCCTCAAAAAATCCTAATATGTTATAATAAAAATGCAGAATTACTCTATGTTTGCCTAATATCATTAAGGCGATTAGGGCACTTTAATGTATGTATACAATATTTTCCTTATCTATGTATGTATGTATTAAAATATTATAATATGAACTCAAAAGCAATAAGAATTATGATGTGATTATCGCATATAAATCATGATATGTCTAATTATTAAGTTTGACTCAAAATCTTTCGACAGATATTTCAAAATTATTTTATTTTTATTTCACCAAATCATTTTTAATGATTAAATAACTTGAGTTAAACTCTAAATTAAAAAAGGATATCAAAAATTATATTTTATTTTTAATAAAAATAGTTGATTATACAAATCATATAAAACATTTAAATAATGTCATGGGTGATCAGTTTTTTCTTTTTTAAAAACGCATAAGTTGTTTAGCTTAAATAAAATAAAAAGCAAAATCTATGATACTTTAGGTATAATATGTAATATCATGGACATATTTGCAAGGTACATTTAGGTCATCATTTAAAGGAAATTCTAAACATAAAAAGGAAAACTAAAACATAAAAATCTATTTATATTCTATT